AATTAACTGAACAATAAATTAATCTGACGTTGCTTCCGCGCGATCAGCCGAAAACCGGTAGTAAATCGGCAACTTGCAAAAAATAGGGCAAAATGGTATGCTGGTAAGGTCATGTTTAATCCGAGCTTCCCCTGCGGCTGCATTTCACGTTGAGCCACCTGATAGCTGATTATCCTGTATAATAATCAGGATAAGGTGTATCACCAATTATTATTATCATTCAATCTGCCCCTCCCCTCATTTCTAAGGTTTGCCTATCCTAAACGACAGAGACCTTAGTCATGAACAATATGCCATTCCGTGATGGGGCAGGTTGAAAAATCTTATATCAGGATTCCTTAATCGATTTATGCTTTGTCCCTGTACATGGTAGTATCAAACAATTAAATTCTTCTTTCCAGCAGCAAAAATATGATACCCGTGTTTAAATTATACTGATAAACCTTCCCATTTTCTTCAATCCGAGGAACAATTGGGGTGCTGCTTTCAGTTGCAACAGTTAGCTATTTGACTATGATAGATGTCTATTCGAGTGCCTTTTTACTTCTGTTCAACTACAATGCTAGCAACGCCTTCATGTCATTATCAATTCCTTTCAATAACCCTTCTATGATCATAAATTTGGTTCCTTACAGTTAAGTCAAAGCCAAGATGTCTCAACAAACAGTCTGATCATTCAATGATGTAGCATCTTGGGCTGTAAATCGAGCATGCAATCCGTATCAACAACAACATATTCAATAGCAATTCACAACCTTTGCGTGAAAGCGTTTTAAACTGTAGTCCTATAGTGCCAGCACAGCATTTCAAATGATTACTGAAGCTCAGTCAAACTACTTGCCTTAGTCACCTGCCTTTCAACCAAAATAGATGAGTAGTAACACGTGGGAACAAAGCAAAAGAATTATATGCTACAGTAACAATACAACTCTAGAGGTTATCTCGAAAAAAAACTGGCCTCGTTACAGACACTAGTACTGCAATTTACGATCAGCGAGAAAAGGATATAACAAATACCATTCATAATGGATGCCGATATCCATGAGATTTCAATTGCGTAAGGGCCAAGCAAGGTAGTTTACGGCAACTTCAGTGCTCGTCTCAGAACTCTCCACCACTCTGACAATGTTATATAACCTTACTGAATGTATCACTGTGAATTCTTCATGTTCTTGAGTAACTTTTGTTCATTCTTTTCATGTATGTCTTCACCTGTCTTTGCCTTATTTTTCGTTTACTGATAAAATTATGCTAATATTTGGACCGCGTAAAATAACACTGGTCTTCGATGCATAATGATTGTCGACGCATAACGGCAGCATGATGTAAGAAATGTTCCTATTCTGTTCCGTGCACAAGTGACCTGGGTAGATGTGGAGAAGAGAAACCAAGGTTTGCTCCGTTAGACAAACTGAGGGATCAAAAACCATATACTGCACACTCCCCCCTCTCACCACCGACCTTTTGTGTGGGAGCCAAAAGACGGCAAACGATGAGGCAGATCTGGAGTCGAAGAGAAATACTTCTTTCTGCGGTGCGGTAAACGGTGCCTTAGAGCAAAGTTATTAAAAAGCCGACGAAACAGCTGGTCACAAACCAGAAACACCGTGCCTGTGTAAACTACTCATCATGAAGGTTACATAAACGCATGCTCGTGTTTGAGCATCTGACTTTTCTATGACTTTGCCATGCTGTTTTTTTGGATCTGTGATAATATCCATCGCTCAGAGAAGCATAAGGCTTTTTTACCAATCATTGATGCAGAAAATTTGTCCGAAACAGGTCTTTCGTTCAAACAGGTTTGCTATTCCAACCGTGAAGGTGATTTTGTTGCGACCATGAAATACGAAATTTTCCCTAATCTTGCTTCGCATTCAATAATGATCACACCGTTTCTGAGTCGGAGTCGAGTACTAGTCCTCGGAAGTCTGATCGGTGCTGAGATACTCAGGTGACATCAGATGGTACCCAGTGCATCCACACGTTATTGACAGTGAAATAATCCTCAGATACGGAAATAGAAGCGAAATAAGCAGAGAATTTGACTAGCAGTTAGTCGAGAACAGTGTTAAATTGTGTTTGGCTTACTGAGGAACGAAGTTCTCACTTCAAATGTTTGACATTAACCACTGATATAACGAGAGTATGTTGTCATCAGATAATCGCATCCTAAGCTTGAGGTAAAGCAACTATTTCCAGATTAAGTCTTAAAACATTGCAAACAGCAACGACCGTTCTTGTTCTGGGTGATTGGTCAAGTTGCAAATGTTGAAGGCCTCAATCAAAGGAACGCTGAAGATTAACTGAACATGAAGCACGTTCAGTATATTTATATATACGAATCATTATATGTTCATTCAGATGCACAGAGTTTCGAGAAAAAAATTCATTGGAAGGGGGCAGTGATAATATGATAAAAAGAGATGTCGGGTTCGAAAGTCGAAAAAGAAAACCATTTTTATAGCCACTAACTTTTTGATCAAAAAATTTAATTTTCGATGCAGCCAACGGAGGAACGGACAGCAAATGATTGACTTACAAGCAACAGGGACAGCATGGTATTTTGGAAAGGTGGTACCATAATGGACCAGATTTGCGGTCATTCTGTCCAATCTCAGCGTTTCTTACGACTGCAATACGCCTTGACGCAGAAGCAGGTCACCATCCAATGTGATAGGCAGCACACGCTTTAAATTCTGTTGCTTTTTTACAATGCAACACGCTAGTCTATCGGGTGACTGATTAATAACGATGTTATGAAGGCCTACCTCTCAGAACTTCTTTGAGATAAGCGTGGTACTGAAATTAGCACTTACTACTGAAGTCCTTTGTAGCAGCGTCTATTGAATTCGTTTTAAGCCTAGGGGTGACGAATTCTCTGATGCAGATGATCTCAAACAACAACCTACGTTCATCGGCACATGTACCTTAAAGTAGACCCGGAGACGACGAACCGAAACGTCGGTACCAGTTATTACGCTCTAGCATATTGCCTTGTGCTACTTTTTTCCGCATGATCATTCACGCACAAATTTTGTCTACTGTTTCACTTGCACCTTTTTTCCAGTAGTAGTAGCAACAATAGCGAATTTGCCTAAATGTGCTAATAAACATAAGTTTTCCCCAACGTGCGACAATACAAATGATATGACGCGCATACAACTCGAAAAATTAAGGTTTGAGTATTTTTCACCTCAAGAGGTCAGTTTTAAACCGTGTTATCGGCCAGTAGATACGTTCCTTTCTATCAAACAAACTTTGCTCTTTTGGCTGAATTTGCAGTGAACGACAAAATGAACTGAAGAACATCTGAGAGCTTCAGTTTTACATGTAATGGTCGCAAATTTGCTACGGGTTCGTTGATAGTTTCACAAACAGATCGCTATATTATTAACTATCATTATGCGGATAATCAACTTTCTTTCATATTCGCCTTTTTTGTATCAGGTTAAAAAGCGATTCATATATTTCTTGACACCTCGTTTAACCAATAACCTTATGACCTTCAAATCAAATGCGTTCGCTGCCTTTCGCAATTACTGCTGTTATCAGCGAAGGACGTCAGAACTTTGCCTTATTTTTTTTTAAAGCCAGAGTCCGTAGCCATGGGGCAATCATAAGGTTTATTCTCATGTTTCCTTTCAAACTCATTTATCAACCTCGAAAGGAAGAAGAACGAGTGACCTTGACCGGAGCTTGAGCTCTGGATCTACCGTTTCTGAATTCAACGCTCTACCGACTAAGCACTCCCGCTTTGATGCAACGTGTGGTAAATTCCTTGCTCAAGGGAATTCATGAATAAGACAAAGATTTCCTCGAGCAAAATCGTACCCCAAATCGAATGCCGGTCTTTGAGACAGCTATGTCAACAAGTCACACTTTCAAGTACATTACTTGACACTAAACGTACTTAAATTAGTCACGCTATATAATACAGTGAGTAGATATTTTACATATTCGAAACTGAAACCGATAGATGTCACTTGCGCCATGGCTAACGAAAATAAACGAATTATTTCAAAACGTACTTAAGCCCTAAAACGGATTTTTAGACCATAAATACTAACTGCTCAACCGGTTAAACGCTGGATAAATTCTGTTTCAATTCGACTACGACTAAAAATTTGCTAGTAAAGTAAGCATAATGACGTAATTTTAAAAACTCATCACTCACGATTACATTTCGTCAAAATCAACAATAAATCGAATGCAACTTTCATTTAAAAATTGTCTCACTCTTTGGTTACCACTGCGCCTTTGCTTCACGTGGCTTGTAATTCGAACGGGTATACGTTCCGCGCTACAGTCGGTATAGTTGCTTCCGATCTGGACGGTAGGTTATCTCTCAGCATCGTTAAGCTAATTACTTCTGCTGTCTTCAACTCTTGACTAACGGCTTGATCAGTTTACCGCCCCTCTGATTTAGTTTATTGCGTACGTCACCAAATTTGTAATGATCGCAGACGCAATTTTTTATATGCTTCAAAATTTATATTAAATTGAACAGAATGTGAGCTAGCTGTAGGTCCTTCCGTATCAGGTTCGGTTATTTTACTGAGGCAAAAATAAATGTGACCCTGTATATCAGCAAGTTCCGCATAGTGTAGCATATAAGTGGCTAAGAGTTTAATATGCAAATTGTCGAAAGAAATATGAAAGAATTGCCGATTTATCTGTTCGTTGTAAAACTCTGACCTGGAGCTGTCATTGTGATCCTTCCCACCCGACTCCATATAAGTTTTATTTACCTAAAAGACGGTAGCTACTCCAAGTGTGAGCGAACAGTGCGGCTTTCATTCAAAAAATAGACATTACACCATTCCTGTTCGGTATGATACTCAGAACAGCAAATTATCGATGAAATTCTACATGGTTCTATTCTGTGTTCGGTTCGAACCTTAGATTTCGAAATGCTCATAACGGTTTTGAACATGATCGCCGATATGATTCTTTTGAATATGATCTTGTTGTCACACAATAGGACGCTAATAACTTAACGAATAGTTTCTCCGTAATGTGATTTATGCGCTTCATTTTCAACGTTATTTGCTCATTGTACAGTTTCTTCGTAGTTATGTTCAATTAGTTCAATTTCTAGATAGAATAATTGTAGACGATCAAGCACACAAGCTTCAGGAAAAAAACCTGTTCAACATATCGTCTATCCTTTGAATAACAATTTGCCATTCATTAACTACACCAAACGTTGAGCCTGACGATGCTGGATAAATGGTTTGGAAAATGAAACAAAAAAGGCTTATTGCATGCTAGTTGGATTTTTAAAGCACTCCCCCAAAACTTTGTATCATGTTGTTATCAGTCTGAACATGCGATTTTATAAACAATAATATAATGCTTAATTCAGTGAACGTTTGTCGAGCATATGATGAAAGGTTTCAAATATAAGCGTATAAAATACAGTCGATTAAGTAATTTTCATTAATTTTAGCAGTACTCCTGAATTCTAAACAAAAATCCCCGTCACGATGCTGCATTCAAAATGGCAAACCGCTTCTAATACGCGTCGACTTTGTGTGGTATTATCTAATTTGGATGACTGACTTAAACTGACATCGATTCATGACTGGAATTAAATAATGTTTCTAAGTGAGCCTCACTCGCGATTCTAAAAAATTTCGATATAGATTCAATCTGTTTAATAGATGGACTGAAAAAATACGTAGGTGAAGAGAAGTGGATGAATATTAACGAGGACTATTGTCTATCATCCGAGGTAATCGAACTATGTTTCTGTAATTGATATATATTATCAGTAAATTTATAACATATGTCATGACGTATGCCTCAACACCGCTTTTGTCCGTTCCTGCGTTGAGGTTATCACAACATATTTATGGAGATCGATCCGCGTTTGGAGAACGTTAATTTTACGCCACAAAGGACACAAAAACGCAGTGACACAATAATGGGTCAACGATAGTTGGCTGATGAGTCAA